CCCCCCCCCTCCCCCCCCCCCCCCCCACTTCAAGTTAGCATGCAGTACCATTCTATATAAAGTAGCAATTCATAATGTCATATCTCTTTAATGCATAACTCCTCGACTTAGTATTTTGGATTGATACCTCTTATTGTGTTTTATCATTTCTTCTTGATTATAGTGCGAGTTATTTTTATCTAGATATGCTAATCTCAAATTCATTCTCTCAATCTCGTACAACTTCAATAGAGGTGGTTAAAAACACTATTCTTCTCCATCCATGGATTCTAGGGGACACTATTACTATCAAGATATGATAATCCCAAAATCATTCTCTATCACAAACAGCATTAATAGAGGTGGTTATAAACACCATTCGATATGGGATGGGATGGGTGGAGGGTCCAAAAACTTGAATGATAAGATCATCTTGTATGCCAAGATCCAGCGAGTTTTCATAATCAGTACAATGAACATAACAAAACCAACCTGCATAAAAAAATGATTGATTATTGAAAACAAGTACAAGATTCTTTGACGTCCCAATTGGAATACTAATTGCTCCAAAGAGATTATATTAGCTACAAGAGTGAAGACTGAAGAGTGAAAAGATAAATGCGATTTAATTTCTTCAATTCACTTGTTCTGATCATATTATCTAAAAGACATTGGATTTACTGTAAATTCATGAAACAACCAGATAACATTTCTTAATGAGTATTGAAGATTCTAAGAATCCTAAATGGCTTTTTATTTTTTTCGTAAGTCATGGTATATTTTACTATGAAAATCAAAGATTGCAAAATGAGCTATGATGGAAATGACATCATTAAAGAGGAAATAAGACTTTTCTGTATTGATTTTATTTCATCTTTGAGATGAGATGGATTGTCTTAAGTTTTTCTGGTGAAGAGAATGTATGCAATTTGTCATAGTTTTTCATGATAAATTCTGTTGGGTATAAAATAGACAGAGCAAGAGAGAGTTGAGCAAAATTAAAAATAAAAGCTTCAAAGAGATGAATCTTGGTTTGAGAGAAAGATAACATGGTGATGAGAGAGACAGACTTGGGATGCCCTAACATTTATTTCCAACATAATTGCCAACATAATTCATTAAGACTTGCTGAAGACAACATAGTTTTAAGAGAGCCCAAACAGCTATTCATTTTAGGATTTGCTTTAAACAACGAGACTGCCTTGACAATTATCACCCAACCTAATTCATTTTTGGACTTGCTTAAAACAACATAGTTTCGAAGGTTTAATGGGCCTTCTTGTCAATAACACAACCTATTTGTTGATTAAATAACCCAGAAGAGATAATGTGCATATATTGGCTGACACTTGTGTTTAATGAGTCTGAGTTGACACATCACTTTATTTTGTGATTCTAAATAGGTGTAATTTTGGCCCCTGCCAACATGTTTGGTGAATTTTAAGATGTAATGAATGAATTGTTAAGTTTACCTGCGATTTTAGATTTTAACAGCATGGTCATCAACCAATCGAATTTCTTTTTTAATTTACCAGTAAAGGCTGCCCCCTTTGTTCTTAAAACACAATATAGGATTTTATCTGAAAATTATGTACGCAGCAATTTTGGAAGCACTTAGAACAATGATCAAACAAATTGTACCATGAATTTACAAGAATATCTAAAAATTTTTCTTCTGACCACTGCTTTATGTTTTGCAATTTAAAAAGCAAGTTTCAGATATTTTGTTCCCATGCTGGCTTTTATTGCATTTTCAATGAATGTAGGAATGCATTCTCTTCCCTTCCTCCGCTTGTTTATCCTTTGCAATTTAATATGCCAGTTCTGATGATTTTGGATTTTGTTTCAGTGATATGTGTGTGTGTGTGAGAGAGAGAGGGAGAGAGCCTAGCTATGTATCATTGTTATGTGCCCCGAAGTCTCTGTTTATATAAATATGGAATGTTGGATTTTTCATCAATAGCAACTTATTTAACTTGAAGAAAAAAGAAAAAAGAATGTAATCTTGTATTTCATTATGAACCAGAAAATTAGGGTGTCGCCTAGTTAATTTGATTGGATCACAGATGATATTTCAAATAATGTTTCCTTCTGGATATCATCTTGATTAAAATGACAGCAATTTGAGCCAAATGAAAGTTTTTTCTGTTCACTACATAATTTTCAAATTTTCAATGTACAGAATATTGGGTTCTTAATGCTAAAATTGCTTGACTTTCCCTGCAAACAGGAGACTAGAAGACGACATTTAACAGCCAAGCTGACAGCGAAGCAAGTTCTTGCAGCTGCAGCTACTGATTCTGCTGGTTGCCACCGAGATGCCATTCTCTCTTTGGCTTCTGTCAAGTTGAACCAGAGACTTTTGATTTCAAGTAGCAGAGATGGGGCTATCAAGGTTTGGAAGTAAATGAAGTACGCATAAAAGTTTATTTTCGTACATATAATGCTAGTTCAAATTGTACATAGAACATTAAGATAGGAAAAAATGGTTAAATTATAATCTGGTGTTGAATTTAATGTCCAACCATGGGCATATACTCTCTCTTCTCGGTTGCTCTTTCATTTTTTCAAATTGTGCTCTTCTAAGCTTGTAGGAATTCTAGATGATATGTATTGTTAACCTGCTCACTACTCTCGGGTAGGTTAACTCTGTACCCATATGTAATGGGACATAAAATACCCCTATCTATCATCATCCACTTCAAATCAAATTCAATAAACTGGTCTATCAAATGAAAATCTTACTCCTCCAAAGTCCTCTTCCTTTCTCATCTTACTCTCTGAACGAGATCTTCATCTCCATATTCTCTCTTCATTTCTTTTCTATCTCTTGGTTTTATATAATGCTATTGAAAATTAAGAATTTATGGAACTCATATTTTTTATTTACACCATTCTCTTTCTTTCTTTCTTTCGTTCTCTGTCTCTTTATTTAGTATTCATAAATTTCACTCTATCAAAATTCAATCTAAAGATTTTCCTTATCCAAATTTCCCAGCATATTCTCCCTTTTGCTTATTTAAATCTTCTAACATGCAGTCTATATCTAACCTTTTCACATCTCTGTAACTTGGGCCAAGAATCGAAGTATATCATAAATCCCAATTACATGGGTAGTGAGAATAGTTTTTGTTTCCGTGGACAACATGCATAGAAATATCAATGCAAGACATAAAATCAAGGACTTTCTATCTTAATTACATGAGCAATGAAAATGGTGGGATGGGGGCAAGCAACTTATGGTTGCATCAGTTTTAAAAAGTTGCAAAGTAGGTGAGAATTTAGTTCAAACTTGAAAGCCCAATGGTGTTTGTGGAGAAAGCTGGTTGCATCTTATGATTGAGGAAGAAAAATGAAAGAACTCTTGTAATTACCGATTTGCTTCTTTTAAAGGACAGTGGAACTAATAGACAAATGTATTTCTATGTCAATTAAAAATGGGCAGAATGTTACCCTGACGTACTGGGCATGCTATGTACAGTGTTTTTGCAAAATGTCCTGTTCTCTGTAAATCTATGTATGCCCCACGGTGTCCACTGGATATTCCAACCATCAAAATAATCTTCTGCCCTCTCTGTCTCCATGTTGCTCTGAAGGTGTGCTGACAATGACTTTACTATATAATTGAAAAGGCATGCTTCAATCCCGGCAGCGTCACCCTTACTATAGAATTAAAATTATGCATTCTGTACTAGCATTTGATTTTACAAGAAATATTTGAGAAGGTAATTTGGTTCCTTTCCATTAATCCATTTGTGGGGATGCCTGGCATCTTATAAACTACTATTTTTTGAATATCGCATAGTATTTCTTATATAATGTGTTTAAGTATGTAAATCTTAAAGCTGGCATTACGTGTTGTATTACCTCTTATGTGCTATGGAAGAGTGCTTGGATGGAGAAATTAAACTTGAATGAATCTTGACGATTGTGCAATGAGGTTGGTATTTGCTTTGAGTTTCTTATGTGAGTGGTTCTTGATAAATCTGAATTCTCAGCAGAGTTGCACCACCATTTTTTAAAATATTGCATCTTGGTGTTTCTTAGTTGTGGTGATTTCGGTCCCATTTGACATTGATGTTCAACCTGCTTTTCTTTAAAATTTGCTTAAAAATTTGATTTTTTATAACGATATCAAAAATAATTTTTTTAAAAGATTATTTTAATGCAAAAAATACACTGTAAAAACAAACTTTTTACACACTCCGAAATACCCTTTTTGAATTTCATTTTATAAGTTGGCATTGCATGTTGAATTACCACAATTTTAGAGTTATCCATGCATCGGAATACTGAAAGGCGAAGGTATGGGTGTATAGATAAATCTTGTCAATTTCAAAGCACTGCTGTAGGTGTAATGTTTCTGTGTTGCTTGCACGCGGTTCTATGATGCAAAGTTAACCAGGCTTGATGCGAACCCGGCACAAAGAATATGAATACTCATCCAGTGAAAGGTAAAATCAAATTAAAAAACCACGACACTATAATTTCTTGAACTAATAACTGAAGGTACATGATAATAAGTTCTGAAAGTTCAATAAATAACCCAAAGAAGTGTATTAACGCTGTTTTATTCTTAATGACAGCATCATAATCTGTCTTTTCAATGTTATTTTGTACTTGTAAAATAAGAAACCCTAATTAACTAACCAGTCTAAATTAAATCCACATATTTAACTTAAATTTAAAACTGAATATGAAAAAAAAAATCATAATTAGTTATTGGATCTATATTAAACTTGCATATCTAATTTAAATCCAAGACCATAATTAGATATTGGATTTATAATAAACAAATTCAAAATTGAATAAGAATAGATTACAAAGCTTATACTTGTAGTATTTGAATGAGGCTCAATCCAAATATTATAAATCAGCCCAATACCTCGGTGATTCTCTTGGTTGGCTTTTGTCTTGTAATGGATCCAATCAGCACATGAACGTTGCTTGTTGATTCCCATCAAGGGCTGTCCGAAAAACAAGGTTGTCCGAAAAACCTAGTGGTTGGATGAGTGGCAATTCCACTGATTTTTGTTAAACTCTTTTGAGTCATTCTTCTATCAAGCTGCCTATAGAACTAGAGTGGTCAAAACGACGGTGAGGTTGCAAATGAGTGTGTACATGAGGGTTACATAGGCAGAGCAATATTTCAGAATATGATGAGATAGTTTGGGCATTGGAACTTGCCTTGTGAAGCTTTTTTTTGTTGATAGAAGCTTTGTTCAGGGTGGATGAAGGTGCTACTGGGTTAACAAAAAAACACGAAGGTCAAATAGAATGATGGCGACAGAAGACTTCATGATATCTCTGGATTTAATTAGAAATTAACACCATTTAGAGACAGCTCGTTGAATCCACTGCATGAAGCTTTTTTATTACATCTTCCAAGCCTAGGTGATTTTGATTTAGACAGAGCATATTTCAAGTCAATTCACCAGTGAGGACTTGCGAGACATGTCTGACAGCTCTTGACACCCTCCAAACTTGGTGCTGTACCGAGCGCCATGCCTCTGGCGTGCTGAGACTCCTCGCCTCTTCAATCGCGTCGTCTATTCCAGGAAAGCAGCTCGATCCATAATCATCATGCTTTGACGGTGCATATATCTGCACAAATACAGAGAATCACTTCCATCTATCTCCTCTTGGCAGTCGTCACACACACACACACACACACACACACTATCACTCAGGATTAAGAAGAGACATACCAAATGCTTGTACCATGACCTCCCAGAAAGCCCTTCTGCGTCTGTAAATGCTCGTTCGGCCATCATCAGCCTGTCGTTGATCTCTCTCACCTTCACTTGATCTTTCTTGAACTTCCATGCCCACACTCTGTTTTCTTCAATTGCCTGAATATTCATAATTCTTTGGTATGAATGTTGATATGTCAATCTTTACTTGATAGAAAATCTTGCCATACCTTTCTCTCCTGGTTTATTTTTGTGGCTGCATCTCTTAGTCTCTTAATGGACTCGAACAGGGGAGCAAGCCTTATGCCCTTATCCGATATCTCATCTTCCAAGTCCTTTGCGTTTTTCTATAATGCATGGATTCGATCGTTAATACTGCCAACAATGTTTGGCTCTGAAATATAAATTAGTCTTTCTAATTTTATAAAATAAATTAAAAATAGTTCTCTTAGTTTTTAAAATCAATTAATTAAATCATGTTTAACTTAACGTTGTTCTAGTTCAAAAAAGAATACTTCTTTCTCATCAAAAGGAAGAAAACATATTTTCTCTTCTGTGCATTGATTATCATGTACAGGCTACAGTTCAGCATTACCTGGAGCTCGTAAGCATAGGATAAATAGTCGAAAGGCAGAAATTCTTCATCTGCTAACTGAAGAGCTGTCAAACCCCAGACGCTAGCCACTGTATTACAAATGGGGTAGTGTAGTAGGTGACATAAGAAAAGAAGAGAAACAACACAAGAAGGGAAATGTAGCCAGCAGAGTTAGTTGTCAAACCACGTGATGAACTAGTAGAAAGTAAATAGTTAGTAAGAACTACTGGTATAATAATTCATGTGTTCTATAAAATCTTCTGTACAACAACAAAAATCTCTCTTTCTTCATATCTTCTAACTCTCAATCTTATTTTCTCAATTACAATAATCTTTGTTAAGGCAGGCTTTAACATGTTGGTATTAGAATATACTTATCCAGGCTATAAGGGAAAACAGAGACAACAAAGCTTTGAAAGAGCATGGTAGACAATGGAAGTGAGGATACATGCTCTTCATCAAGAATTGCAAGATTCGGGCAGGCTAAACGGAATGAACAACTTAATGCAAAAATGGAAGAACCAAGCTATTACAAGAGGTGTGATTTGTCTACAACAAAATCATAACCAAGATGAACCTGTGGGATTCAATGAAGGCCAAAGAGGTATATACAATGTAGCATTACCTAAAGTAGAACTACCTACATTTCATAGATATAATCCAAGGGGGTGGGTTAGGAAATGTAAAAAATTCTTCAAGTTACATTTTATAAATAGCTTCACTTTACTTCGAAGACAGAACTTAATTTTGGTTGGAAGGTTTCTTGATTTTAGATCATGACCAAACTATCTGGGAAGAGTTTGTTTGATCCATTTGTACAAGTTTTGGCAGCAAAGAGGATATACTGGAACAATTCAACAAGTTGGTGTAGGATAAAAGGGTAAAAAACATGTTTAAAAGGTCCGAGGAGCTCAAATCTCAATGAGCACTTCGAATCCTTAGTTACCAGAATTATATTATATATCGAGTTTTATTAGTGGTCTCAAAGATGTTATCAAACCAACATTAAAGACACAGAAGCCTTTAATATTGATACAAGCATTTTATTAAGCAAGGTGGCAAGAGAAGTCTAACCATACTGTGGCAAGAAAGAATATAATGATGCCTAAAATATCACTTTCTTTCAATAATGAAAGACTAGTAGGTAATTCATATTTGAAAACTCCCTATATTATAAGAATTGATATGACACTAAAAAGAAAACAAACACATGAAACGTTATATAAATAAAAGGGAAAATTAGTACAATGTTATAAATATGGTGAAAAATTGATACTAAGTCATCAATGTAACAAGAACAACTTGAATTTGATGAATGGTGTAGAAGAAGGTAAAGAATTTTTAGAATTAGATGAGGGAGATAATAAAGAAATTATGGCTGAAGCGGATCTGATGAATGAATATGACTTACATCTTAAGTTATTGACTAAAAGATATAATCATAATACAAT